TCAGGACAGCTTCACCAAGGGCAAGTCTTACCTGACCAACCTAGTGGCTTCATAGGATAGAATGATTACACCAGTGAGCAAAGAAGGGCTCTGGATGTCACCTCTCTGGACTTATGACACTGTTCTCTGTAAATTGATGAAATAAGGATTTGATGGGTGGACTGTTTCATGGGTGTGGATTGGGTTGAATCCACAGGGTAGTGGCCATCTCAATGCTCCCACAGACACTGGTGACAAATCTTTTAAAGGTACTGGCAGATGAAAAGCTGTGATGTGGCAGGTTGTGGCTCACAGCCCAGAAGCCAAGCACAGCCTGGGACACAAAAATCAGCGTGGCCAGCAGGTCAAGGATGGTGATTCAGCCTCTCTAATCTGCTCTGGTGAGATCCCACCTGGAGAAATGCATCCAGCTCCTGAATCCTCAGCACAGGAAAGGCATGGATGTGTTGGAGGGGATCCAGAGGACAGCCACAAAAATGATGAGGGAGAGAGCTCCTCTTATATGAAGAAACATCAAGAGAGTCAAGGTTGCTCAGTCTGGAGAAGAGTTCCAGAAGAAGGTTCCAGAGAGACCTTACTGCAGTCTTTCAATAGTTACTAAAGTGGCTTTTAAGAGAGATGGGGACATGTTCTTAACTGGGCCAACAACAACAGAACAAGGGGTAGTGGTTTGAAAGAGGGAGGATTTAGACTGACTGTAAGGAAGATTTTTACAATGACAAAGGTGAAACATAGAAACAGGCTGCCCAGAGTGGTAGTGGATGCCCCATCACTGGGAGGCTGGATGGGGACCCGAACAACCTGGTCTATTCAAAGATGTCCCTGCTCATCACAGCGGGGATGGACTAGATGACCTTTAAAAGTCCCTTCCAATCCAAACCAATCTATAACGTGACATGGAAACACTGTAGCAAACCTCTAATGACCCAAGCAGCCATCAATGATCCTGACATTTTAAAATGCACCAAGAGCAGAAAGTTAGTTATTCCCTAAAGCCCCCAAGACAGCAACACAATCAGGATCATGCTACCAAAAACACTTGAGTTTTGTGGAAATGAGCTCATTTGCATGGTTGATGTTCCCAGAAGACTGCATGAACAAATCCACATTTTTTGTCTCAGTCTTTCCATGGTAGTTTCAGTTTAATATTACTCATGACTGTCATGTTTAGAAATGTATCCAGACAATGTTCCTTGTAACACTCACAATTCCCATCTGAATTACCTCCATGCACTTTCTTTAAAAAATTTCCTGCAACTTCTCATCTAGGACCAATAAACAGAAAAGTGAACTATGTTATGTATGTGAATGCTTATCTGTGTTCATTTCCCAAATAAAGTTTTGTAGTATTTGAAGTATGACTGACAAATTAAAGTATAAGTTAATAATTGTCTTATATTTACCCAAAAATAATATTTCTCAGTAACAGCAAGTAGAAAACATTATACATTATAGGATGCAAAGAAGTATTCTCAGTTTCATTAGTCTAACTTGACAAGTCTGACTTTGACAATCAAAACATTATTTTGAAGTCATATCCCACAAATATCTCAATTTATTGAGAACTAGCAGACAGACCTCATTTAAAAAAGTGAAAATAATCCACATTTTTAATGAGGAAAAATTAATTTTTAAACACAGTGGTTCACATTTCTCTTCCATGAAGAGCTACTTGATCCATTTCCCAGAATATGCTTTGTACTTTGGCACAAATACAAAAACTGAGCAACAAATTTGTGCCACTGTAGCATTTTCCCTTCAATGATATGAACAACTACCACAAAACATACAATCCATTCTGGTCCTTTCATCAAGTTAGAAGAGGAACTCCAGCAGCAAGTAGCCATGAAATGGACAAATAAATAAAGCTGGATACAAAGTAGAAGACAGGGCCTTGTGCACCTGTTTAATGCTTATGTCCAGAGGGGCCAGCGCTCAGAGAAATTCAGTGCTGTTGAAATTAAGAGCCTTGCTCAGTATGAGATACACAGGAACACCAGCCACAACAAGACTGTTTCAAAGCCGTTTTAGTTACTTTTGAGTTAATGACCTAACACAAACCAGGCTTCAATGTGCCTCCTCAAAGAAAAGCAGCCTTACGATGTAGAATTACCTTCACCAAATATTATTTGCCTTCATTAAATTAAAAAGGGGATAGTGAAAGTAATCACTGCGTTTACATAAGTTAGTTGCACTGTGCAGGCAGCCCTTATAAGCACCCTGGGAAGTAAATATTGTTGCTTTGCAATTGTGGGTCAGCAAAAAGTTCTGGCAGTTTTCAGAGAATCTCAAACACTAAGCTCATGGGCAAATCAGAATTTAGAACCATAAGCAAAACTTCTGGACTTCCAGTCACCACCCACTGATTTTTACTTCTATCAATAGCAACTGTGTTATTACACTTCAATTATGTGAATATAAAAGGAGGAAAACTTAAAAAGAACCCAGACAAACGTCACACAAACAAGAGATTGCTATTTTAAAGACAGCTCTCTGTATCCAAGAGAATTTGTTCTTGGTGACACTTTTTAACTGTGGAGCCTGGCAACATTTCTGCTGCCTTCCCTCTCTATGAAGGGATTCAATGCATATTTAACCTGTCCCACCAGAAAGATATTTCATAACTTCCTACACACACTCTGCAGTCAGTAGAGAATTGAAAAATGTACTGCAACTTAAGACAAATGATAAGATTATGAAACAAAGAATATACTTTGTACACTTTAACATAAAGAGGTCATTCTATTCTTTTTCATCTTTCTCTGTGACCAACAAGCTAAGAATTCCATTCTGAATTAATTGCTTTAATTATGCAAAACAGCCTTTCCTCTACCGGCACCACAAAAGGACAGAAACATAGGAACAAACAAAAGATTCTTGTGAGGTGATAAACTAGATCCACATGAACCAATACTTCAAACAGCGGCTTTTTCAGAAGCAGAAAAGCAGAGAAATAAAAGTAAAGCTAAAGTAAAATTTACTTAAATTTGCATTGACAAACTAGGAACCAGGGGTGAGTTTGATGCCCAAATGAGCTGTATTTTACCAGAGAAGTTATGACCTCTCCTCTTTAATTTTAGAGGCAACAATGAAGTTAAGAAAAATGGTACCACCAAAACACACACCACCTTGGAAAGCTGTAAGTACACTAGAAGGGTTGAATGAGGAAAGCCTGAATGAGTTAAAGATGTGATCTATCCACCCTAATGCTTTAAAGCTTACTGTAAGGAATTAAAAGATACTAGTCATTTGCATATCCAAATTTAGAAATTTAACTCCAGCTATATATTAAGTACTCTTAACATAAAAAACACAATATATTGTCTGGGAGAACTGCAGACAAAAGTTATTTAAGGATTTAAATAATAAGACCAATTTAGAAGTAGTTTATCATGCATTATATTATATTTGCATTCTATTATATGTAGAAAGAAGCAAGCTTTTTCTAATAAAATCTGGAAACAAATAACATTTATTTCAAGAAAGGTACAGACTTTCCTGTATCACACACAGCAGGTTTTACAAAGGAAAAGATTTTCATACTGCAAAGCAGGAAAGGCAACCAGGGCCGGAAAGAAGGGGATGTTGAGGTCTAAACCACAACTGTCTCTGAGCTGCTACTGAGTTTTATTACACAAGGTTAATTAAAACTTACTTTTTTGTAAGTGCACTTAAACCTCAAAGAGTTCAGGTACTTCATGGTTAGCATCACACCAGAACTCATGACAATGCACCTGATCATTGTTTAAATGTTTGACAAGTCGTAACTTACAGAGCAAGTAGGGAAAGATCACATTTCATTTCAGGATCTGTAACTCTTCCCACATCTCTTAGAGACAGAGGAAAACATGGAAGGGTAAATGATCTGCCCGATAATTGTGTAACAACAAACTCTTGAAAAATACATCTTGAAAGGTTGTTGTCATAACATCACACCTTGACTTCTATGTAGGAAAGGATGCTAGACATACAATTAACTAATTTTATTTTTTCCATTAAAAAATCAAATAGAATTACATAAAAGATACATCACATACTCTTCTCCAGTTACTTGAACATTACCAGGAGAGTAAGGTGACAGAAATGTGGTGGAACTACCAAACAACCAAATAAACTTCCTTTTCCAGTGCTTAGCTATACTTCCACCGGGAAAACACATTCCTGTTTTCAATGGTGAGAACTTTTTCCCTATCGACAACGAAATATTTTCATACTTGAAGGCTTAATTTTATTTTCCTCTGTAGATTTCAGTTGTTTCCTTTCCAGACCTTTAACAATTCTCACATCTCTCCGAGTTCTCCCAGCAGCCCCTCCGTGCCTTCAGCAGCTGCAGAGGCCCAGGCAAACACAGCCCGCGCAGGGCGCTCACCCAGCAGCGCCCCGGGGCCCCTCTCAGCTTGTGTCCTGCTCCGATTTTCACCGGCAATAAACTCCACTAATATCCCCAAATCGAGTCTGCTCTGCCCATGACAGTAATCGCCCACTGGTTTCTCCCTATCCTTACCTCAACACATGAGCCTTCTGCTATATTTTGTCTCCCCTGCCCATGTGCGGAGGGCAGCTACAGAGGAGCTTCGCGGGTGCCGGACATCCAGCCAGGGTCAACGCACCGCAACCACCCGCTCTCAACCTTCCCTCCGCCCCACGTCCTCGCAGGGCACCAGCCCGCCACTCACCCAGCAGCTCCCAGGTGCCGTGCAGGTGTCTCCATCCCGCTCGGGCGGGCAGGGAGAGCCCCGCGCCCAGCGCCGAGCGCCCGGCCCGCAGCAGCCGCGCTCAGCCACAGGGACGCCGCCATCTTCCCCCCGCCCCCCGACCGCGCCGGGGCTGCCCCGCTGACTGCCTGAGCAGAAATAACCGGGCACGCCCGCAGCGCCGGGGAGCGGCTCCGGCGAGCCCCCGCGCCCCGCCCGCCCCTCCGCGGCACCTGCCGTGGGATTGGCCGCCTCGATCGCCCCAGGCATGGGCAAAGGCAATAGCGCGGCCGCCCGCGCCCCGCCTGCTGTTCGTCCCGGGGCGCGCCCGCATCTCCTGTAGTCCCTGCCGGCTCCCGGCTCGGGGGGAGACAGCGGCCTCTCCATCCCATCCGCCGGGGCTCGGGTCGGTGCCCACGCCCGCGGGATGCCCAGCGCTCCGCAGGCGCCCGCGCGGCCGCCCAAAGAAGCCCCCGAGCAAGGACCCCGCGCTGGCCGCGCCATGGCGGCCGCCGGCGGGGACGCGGCGCAGGTAACGGGGCCGGGGGGCGGCGGGGCCCGCCACCGCTCCGAGAGCCGCCCCATCGCGGGGCCGGGGCTGCTCTTGAACCGTGCTAATTGGCCGGCAGCTTCGCAGCTGCAATTAGGAGGGAGGCTCTGGGAGTACTGGTGGATGGCAAGCTGACTGTGAGCTGGCAGCGAGCCCTGGCGGCCGGGAGGAAATTCAGGCAGCAAGAAGCAGGCGGAGCCAGTGTCCGGCTTTCCAGGAGCAATGTTCATAAGCTAAAACACGAGTTCCACCTCAACACGGGGATGAACTTCTTTACCCTGAGGCTGGCAGAGCACTGGAATAGGCTGCCCAAGGGAGTCGGGGAGTTTCCCTCTGGAAACATTCAAAACCCAGCTGGAGGCTTTCCTGTGTCACCTGCTCATGGCGACCCTGCCTGGGCAGGGGATTGCACTGAATTGTCTCCAAAGGTCTCTTCCAACCCTCGCTGCTTTGTGCGCCTATATAAACGTGTTATAAAATTCAGTACAGTTTCCAAAACGTTGCCAGCTGTCAGTCTGGCAGCATATACAGGACTGGTGGCTCTTCTTGTGTTCACTGGGGTTAAGTTTGTATTGTGATTTGGTTTTCTTTTGGTTTTTTGAATTGGTCTTTGATTGGGGTTTTATGTATCATCACAACCAGAACATGAGCTGGCAGTGCTGTGCTTCATCAGACATTGAGCATATGGAGGCATTGCCTGGGCAAGGCTCAGGACACCTCTCCAGTTTGTGTGTGACACTGGTGGAGAGACCAGCCCAAGTTTCAAACCCAGCAAGGGCTGACAGCAGGGAGATGGGAGGCTGATAATGTGGCTTGTCAGGAAAGTGGGAAAGAATCCAGTTCGTCATAAACAAAACAGAGCAAAAAAAAGAGCAGCAGATTGAGTTGTTGTAATTCATAAAACATCGTCACAGAGGTGAGAGGGAAGACCATCTCCTGCATGTCCATCATCTTTGGTAAGAGAGAGCAGATTTGTGACTCGCTGTCACTGGAGGTTGCAAAGATGAGGTTGGAGTAGGAGATTCCAAACGTTGTCAAACGTGCCCCAGGCTGCCATTTCCAGTAATTCACCTTCCCATCCCCACTGCCTCGTGCTCCTGTTCCCTGCTGCCTCCCCACCCTTAGCTCTGCAAGTCCAACACCACCTGGAAGCACTTCTTTCTAAACATCTCAGCAAAGGTATTGGCACCAAGCAGCCACCTGCCTGCTGTTTTTGCTGTGTGCTGCTTTGGCTTTGGCGCTCTCTATTCTGTTAGTGTTGACAAAATACTTCCCCCGCAGTGTGGATTCTTGCTGCTAAACAAAGTATTTTTGTTGGGAATGTTTTTCATGGGCATTAATGACCGAGGTGAGCAGTAGGGCAGCTAATCATTTGTCCTTTTAGAAAAACTTTTCAAGCTTCTAGTTGCTGCAATTAAAAAAAAAAAAAAAAAAAAAAGAATCCTACATAAAAGCAGCTTTTTTACTGTGGTAATGTAGGTAGAAACATTACCTCTGACACCAGAGATACCTTTGGTTAATATATAGATATGGATATTAAAGTAATAAACAATGGAATATGGAAAAAATACAAGATTTTTTGTCCTTCTAAAGAAATATTTTAATAATGCAATTTGCTTTCTGACTCAACTGCATGTAAAGTAACTTTGTGTAGTAAAAATGTAGGATTGTAAAGTTCATAAAATAATTTGCATATATTTTCTGTGGTATTTTTGAGTGCTGTTTAAAATGTTTATTGACTAATAAAGTCTGTTCTACTGAAATTTGTAAATCAAGCAAAATAAACCTACAGAAAAACTGATTTAATAGGAAAACTATTAGTCAAGCTTTTAAAAATTGAAAATGTTAGATGCATTTATTTTCCCTTTTTTTGTGCAATAGTCCATAACATAATCCTGCTGGTGTAATATATGTGGGCCACTGCACTCAAATAAATTTTAGGTGAGACCTTTCCTGTGAAGGATAGTCAGACTTGCACCTTATTTGGGGTTTTGTTTGTTTCAAGGTGTGATGTCCCTCGCAGAGCATAAAGGGCAATGTGTAAACATGCAATTATTTTGTAATTGAAATTCATTACCATAAATTAGACCATTTTGCTGTAGAATGAAAGTACTAATCCTTTAAACTCAGTTTGAGAGCATGAATTCTTAAGTTTGATGTGTTTCTGATGGTTTTTCTTTTATTTATTTATTTGTAGGATGGGTTACATCCAAGGCATCTTATCCCAGAGCTTTGCAGACTGTTTTATGGTTTAGGCTGGGTAACAGGAACTGGTGGAGGAATCAGCTTGAAACATGGGTAAGTAATGATGAAAGAGAGATAATGTGGTGGGAGAGAGGCTGGCTGTGTTCAGTAGTTGGTGAGGGCATTTCAGTTCCATGAGAAATGTTTGAAAGTCAAGAGTGAGCAAGAAGTTAAAGGGGGAAATGAGCAGTATTCCAAAATTAACCATATAGGAGGAAGGTGAATAGTCTGAATTAATCATTGCAGACCCTTCAATGGGGAGAGACAACTTCAGAGAGTGACCTTATCCTGTCCTTTGTTTAAGGCAGATGAATTGCCTTTAAAGAACAACGTGTTCCCCCTTTGCATTTCACTGACTGTGGAATTTAGAGTGGGTTACATCAGGCACACAGCTTTCAAATGCCTGTGGTTAAATAAGATCAGTCTCACCCTGAATGTATTTTACAGGCCAGATATTTCCTCTAAGCAGGAAATTACTATTCCACTGAGGTAATTTCTAAGGAGACAAATACTTTATCTATAATTAAAGCACAACAAGTAACAACAATTTTTGGTCTGTGTCTCCTACGAAGAAGCACAGGGTTTTAATTTGCCTGTCTCCTGCCTATTCATAATCCCCAATCCTTTTAGTGGGAACAGAGCTCCTCTCAGTGGCCACTGAAAAAAAGATAAGTCCTCATTCTGCGAAGAGCCTTGCACAGTGCCTGCAATTCTGTACCCAGTCACAAGGTTGTGACACGATCTTGAAAGGATCTGACCTCGCATTTTTCTGGTATACACTTGCATTTATGCACAGACAGCCTAAACTATTCAAAGATGTATTTTTTGTATATATATATATATATGTATATGTATATATATGTATATATGAATAAAATATAATTCTTCACTGATAATTCATACATATATATATATATATGAATAAAAAACCCTAAATGCTCATACTTGAGCTGTTTGGACTTTGTGCAGGTCATTTCACCTCCCTGATTGATTTTGCAAGCAAAGCCACAACAGTAATAATAATGAGATGAATGAAAAGAGGATAAATTCTGTGGGAAGATCTTTCTAGCACTGATTTGTCATCAGTACCTAAATGTAGCCTATTTTCTTTGTCATCCCAGTGCAGCTCCTGTTGGTTTTGGCAAGACAAATAACATTATCAGAGAGTGCACTAATATAGTTTTCCTTAGTAGTTTTATAGCTTGTTTACTTGGCATTGTTAAAAAGGAAAATGTAAAAGAACAGCTGAAATTTGATTCAAATATAACAACTGTTTTTACCAGGTAATCACAATCAGCCTTACTCACTGTGCAGTTCATGTCAACTATCAAGGAAAAAAAAAAATGCCAATTTGGACTTGGAATAGCATATTGAAAACGGATGTAGAATTCTTTGTGGGGTATCTTGTATTTGAAGACTTTGTTTAATCATCAGATTAAATACAGACTTTATTTAATCATCAGATTTTCTCTTTCTGATTAAGTTCTAAAAAATAAAAAAATCTAGTTTAAGAAAAATTGTGTGTCTGTCATAAGTAACCGAGTTTACCACTTGATTTCTTATCTTTCTCAAGCAAATGAATCAAAACTAAATTAATGCAATGCCAGAAATGTTAATTCTTGAATGTCAAAAATTACAAATATGATAAAGCCGCATTTTTCTGTGCTTCACAGACATTTTACCACTATGAATAGTACATCATCTTAAGAGTTTTATTTTTGGAAGAATTAAAATAATGCAATTGTTTAGATGGGTAAAAATCCTTAATATCATCGAGTGTCCAACCATAAACCTACCACTGCCAAGTTCTCCACTAAACCACATTCCTAAGCACCATGCCTAAATGTCTTCTAAAAACTTCCAGAGATGGTGAGCCAACTGCTTTCCTGAGCAGTCTGTCCAACACTTGGTAACCCTTTCAGTGAAGAAATTTTTCCTAATGTCCAATTTAAAACTCTCCTGATGTAAATTGAGGTAATTTCCTCTTGTTGTGTCACTGGTTACCTGGCAGAAGAGACCAACCTCATCTTGCTACAGCCTCCTTTCAGGCAGTTGTAGAGAGCAGTGAGGTCTCCCCTGAGCCTCCTTTTCTGCTGGTTAAACAACACCAGCTCCCTCAGCTGCTCCTCACAAGACTTGTGCTCCAGACCCTTTCCCAGCTCCAATTCTCTAGTCCAGAACTACAAAGATCCCATGGTCCATCATAGGAAATGTGTCTGTAACGTGACTAACTATTCACTAGATGTCTCTGTGCTCCTGAATTTAGTACGTGACTGCTGAAGCCAAATAGTGATTGCAATTCAGAGAGAGAATATAGTTGGGGTTTTTGTGCTAATAATGAAAATAATGCAGTATCATCTTGAAATCATTTTAGTTTCAGTCAGTTTTTACAGTTTTTTGTTCATGTAGTCCTTGCAAGAAGTGATGCACTTCTACTTAAATTTCAGTCATTTAATTGCACTGAATTAGTGCTATCTCTTTATCAACATAACTAAACATGGAACTGCACTAAAAACCTAACCCGCACAGTTAAAAAAAAAAAGTACTTACAATGTTGAATGTTACAGATAATTATTACTGTTTAAAGATAGTTTATGGATTTTTATGTAATGGTTTTGTCACCTGCCTTGTCACAGATCAGTATCTCTTTGCAATTTCTCATTTAATTTTTATTCTGAATTCTAGGAATTTGAGTTTGAGTTGCTGCAGGGAGAGGCTGTTTTTCTTTGTTGGAAAAATAAGGCTGCACTTCTTACATGTGTTTCTGATATCTGTCAAGTTGAAAGCAGGTTTTTGTACCCCTGCAAATTAAAGATTTATTTGCCCTTGTACAATTTGGTTCTATTTTGAAAACTGTCTACCTGTCAATGTATGGGAAGAACAAGAAAGTTTTTAAATTGTAAGGGTCGAGATTTGCTATTTCCTTTTCAGTGGCTCAAGAACTCGAATGCCTGTGCAGTGGAAACAGTCATTGCTCAGCTGTGTTTACTGATTTTTCTCATCTGCAACTTTTCCTAGGGATGAAATATACATTGCTCCTTCAGGAGTCCAAAAGGAAAGAATACAGGTGTGTTATACTGTACTTTTTACCTCAGAGCTCATTTGAGATGGAGGAAACTGTCTTTGTTTAGAGTTTCATTTTTCCTTATGTGGAGTTACACACTTCTGATACTGTTAACTACGTACTGAAACAACTGCTGATGTCTCCCAGTACTCCACTATCATAGCAAGCCAGTATGTGTTTCAGTGGCCAGTGTAGATTAGTCTTGATGTTCTCCTTGCTTTAAATTAACACAAAGCAGCATGAGAGTGGAGCATTACTCCAGTCCAGCTTTATTCTTTGTCAGGCTTGGTTGACTAGACCTGTCTGGCTACAGTTTCAAGTTACCCACGTGAATAGACATTAACACCTCATTGCTGTTTATTTTCGTTTGAGTGATTGCAAATATTTGTCTTGATATTCTCAGTAAATAACTGGGCTCTCCCCATGAAAAGGTGACTTTGTCTCTCTGTCTGCTTTCCAAAAAAACCCAAAAATTAAGAGGAGGGGGGAACGGTAAATGATACCTGATTTATGACAGCAGGAACTCCCCCAGAATAGAGTAATACATGGAAAGGATTTGTCATCTCATAAATCTGAGGATAAATACACTGAGGACTGAAAGGAATTTCTTCACTGATAGAAACTTGGGGTCTTAGAGCAGCGTTTGCTGGGGATGTGGAGAAGTAAGGCAGGCAGAGGTATGTAAGATAACCACAATGCTCTGGGCTGTGCTTGCAGTAATAGAGGATTAAGCACAGTCAGTGAGGCAATCTCCTGTAATCGTATTTTCTGCTGGTTTTTAAAATAACATTACAATTTTACTACTATCCTGAACAATTCTTTGTACTCTTATGAATAGGTAATTGATGCAAATGTAACATTCATGTAAAGCTATTAAAAGCAAAGTTTAAAAAGAAATAGTTCTACAAGTTAAATGTATTATTTTTAACTTATGTTGTTTGTTGGCTCTTTTAAGTGGGGAAAGAAAAGTACATCTACATTTCTTATTTTGAATCAGTGACTCCTTTTCCTTTTGATCTATTGTTATTACTGAGCTACACTCTCTCCTTTCTGAGAAAATTGTAGTTTTACAAATATCTGCATGGCATCAGTCTGAGGAAAAAGAGTACCTAATACTGATTTCCATTACACAATGTTGGTAAGTGCTATTAGAAGCTGGAATAAATGTGGAGCATTACAGCACTTTTACAAAGTTCAAATCACATTCTGTATTAAATACGTGGTTTGTATATATTTTTTTCCCTAGAGGGAAAGCAAAACTATTTGAGGTTAAGTATCAAACAAAACTATCACAGATCAAAATAATTTCTTCTTTCTTACAGCCAGAAGATATGTTTGTTTGTGACATGAATGAACAGGACATCAGTGGTCCTCCACTTCACAAGAAACTAAAGAAAAGCCAGTGCACACCTCTTTTTATGAATGCCTACACTATGAGAGGTATGTAGCAATGTTTGCAGTTCAGCAGTGACTGAAACACTGTATATGTACATCCACAAAATTGCTATTCAGCACCATATTCTTTATACATAGAAAGTTACAATGAAATAAACATGAAACTATAAAATAAATTGATTTACAAAGGTATATATACAGTGGGATATAATCCATACTAACATCCTGTCAGTATCACTTGGAATTTAATCCTCTCTTGTAGCTGTGCCTGTGATCATGTTGTCAGCACTGATTTTTAGTGCAGAATATTGGTAGGTTGCAGGGGAAGCCTGGGATTACAGCAGTTTTACATCAGTGGTTTTGCCAATTCAGTTGTTAGTTTAAATCCTTTTGCATCCGTTGCATGAGATTAACAGTTATAAAATAGGGATATGTGAAAACAGTACGAAACTTTTCTTCTGCAGGTAGACAGCAATAGAGAGCTTTTGATGTTGTGTAAAATTTACTCTGTTATTTTAGAAAGGATTTAGGGAGTCTCTTCTGGTCTTCCTGCGCAAGCAGCTTACATGTGTCCTCAAGGAATAACAACACAGCATCTTTATAAGTAAATTGTGATTACTGTCTACCTGTCTTTCCATCATGACACAATAAGATGATGAATTTTTTTTCAGAGAATCAGCAGATAATTGAGGAAAACAAAGTAAAAGGCTTTAAACTTTCATTTAACAAATAAGTTTGGGAATTCTTTATAACCTCAGAACTCTGATAAAATTAAGAGTGTCTCAGTCATTGTAGTATGTAAAGAAATGTACAAGTAGTGTTTCTGCTTGAATTTATACAAGCAGTGTCTCTCCTGGAATGTGTCACTAACTGAAGGTTAACACGACTGTCCTAAGACAATCCATAATTATCCCTTATATGTGTATTTACCTCATACCTTCATTTAGGTTGCTGTATATTTTTTCCTCTCATACAGCAGATCAACATTTGCTAAGATGCCTAATCAAAGGAAATGAATCTAGTATGTGAATACAATTTTCTTAACAGAGACATTTAAAAATTTATTCTAAATTTTCTTTTTCTCTTCCTAGGGGCAGGCGCAGTCATCCATACACATTCCAAGGCTGCTGTTATGGCTACCCTTCTTTACCCAGGAAGTGAGTTCTCTATTACCCATCAGGAGATGATCAAAGGAATCCAGAAGTGTACTTCAGGAGGCTATTACAGGTACTTCTCTATATTTAGGAAAAGAGGTGTGATGTTTGATCATTTGTTTTGATATTTCAGCATAATTCGTTTTGTATTGATATTTCAGCAATATCAATACAAGTAATTTGAGTTATATACTTGAAAGTGTATAATACAAGGTATTAAGAATAAGAAGTAAAAAGACCTCTGGAATGAATGAGTCACCACTGGCTTTCTGTAAGATTTGAAGCCTGTGTAAGAGATCTGAGATAAAATCTTGTAATGCCAAGGCTGCTGTGGTCTGTTGAGCTACAGGAAGAAGCCACATAAAGAGCTACATCCTGAGATGTTACCACATCTGTACAGCATTCAGCTGAAGCTGGAGCCAGCCAGCACCAGGTTGGATTGATAGCATGTACAAACTACATTTGGGTGGACTTCACATATCACTGCCTGTGCTAGTTTAGGGCATGTTAAGAGAGTAGAGGATTTCAGATTTACTTGACAGAGTTTGAAAGAAAATTCAGAATAAACAGCTCATTAAAGATAATGTTATTACTTTTCAAGGATGAGCTCTGAGGTAAGTGCTGAGTTATTCCAAATTATGTGTGATGGCTTGTTTTGAGGTCTCCACCCACAGAGTGTTGAACTGGGATCTGCAAACAACATTTATATAACATGTGACAAGGAGATGAGAAATTGAAATGCTAAATTCTTTCCACTTTTTGATGTTAATTTTTGTATCTAACTATTGCCCTTTGGCAAGGGAGCAAGCCATATGTGATTTTACGCCCAGGCATATTTTATTCCATTTTGGTTGACTTGCCAACTTTACTTTCTTGTCACCAATAGCATGTGCATTTTTAATGTGGTAAAAAGCAAGCCCTTGTACTCAATTGTCTAACAACATTGTTTTTTTTAAAAATCCACAGCATTTTTTTTTTATGCACTTTGAGCTCTCAAGCACTCCTAAATATTAGTCAGGAAACATCGTATTTATTGGGTTCCATACCTCCAAGTTTTCTGTGTCATTCTATTAATTTACCAGAAAGACCCAAGAAGTCAAAGTTCCAGGTTATATGGCTCATAAGCATGTCTTCATTCACACTAGACTGATTCCACTGGCTTGCCTCACACAAGTCTACCCATTGAATTCAAAAGCAAAATGGGACTTTGGATTCAAAATACAAAATGGCACTTTTCAAAAATGGGATTGCATGTTGTTTCTAGTTACGTAAATCTTTTCTGGAGGCTGTCCGGGAAAATGCTACAGATAGAATAATCAGAAGTATATGTTGGCCTAAATATGACTCCAGTGATGCCACACTAGTTTTACCTTTGATTTCCATAGAAGGAGAATTAGATCAGTAGTAAACAGGTTTGAAAGTCAGACTGTCACAAGGTATTTTACATCCATGTTTGACTAGATGTAGGCTGCTTATATTTCAATTTTAAAAAAAGATATTCCAAGTATTAAGCTCATTCAGAGTCTTCTTGACATTTTTTAGGTATTAGTTCTTGATAGAAAGCTTATGGTCCTGGTTAGGAATCAGTTATGATATTTGTAGCAGCTTCCAAGCTCAAGCAGAAAGCAGAACCTAGGAAGTCAATCCATTAACTCATTTGGTCCCATTAGTAACAGACACTCCAAGTGTAATTGCAGTGATCCAAATTTATAAGAGTCAAAGTAGAGCTTCAAATGCCCCCTCACTTTCTTCATTCACTATTTTTATAGCTTTCCTTGAGAAAGTGTCAGCATTGAGAACTGTAAGAGATGAGACTTTATCTTCAGAATATTTGATTTCAAATACAAGCTGTTGGTGCTGGGTTTTTTACCATTGCTTTCTTTCTGTGTTTCACAAAAGAAAGTACTACTAGCATCCTCATGAAATATCTATGTGATCTCAATGATAAATCTGAACCTGAACTGGGGACTTATTAAAACTGTTTAAACAAGTTTCTGCTAGTGTTAATTAAGGTTCAAACAATGCCAAATATCCCAGTCTTCCTTCAGAAGAAACTCTTAGGCAAGTTCCACTGAGTAACGTGCATCATCTTGTCTTTGGAGCTGGGGTTCTCAGGCTCTCTTAAGATCACATGTAGCCCACCAATGACTCCCATCACAGAGAATTTATTTTTCATGTGTTGACTCTACTTTCTATTTATATGCCTTAGCAGGACAATCTTCCAGGGGCTTTTTGGACTGCCTAAATTAATTTTTCTTCCGCTCTCCAGCAAACAGCTTCATTTCCTTCTATATGATATGATTCTTCTAAATAATTTCATCTGAGGTAAAACTTGTAGATGATGCCAGTACAGGATGAAAAGTTTGAAAAAGTTGTAAAGAGACCCAACTACGAAGTGATATGGGAATAAACAACTACACCTAATAGATTAAAGTGTTGTTTTCTTTTTGTGCCTGAAGTGTAGCTTGGGTATTGCCAGTGTAATATTTGTTTGGGAGTGAGAGATGTTCCTGAGAATTCCTATGCTACAGCATGACTCACAAGAGAAGAGAATAAAATCTAGTGCTGACAATTTAACATTTTACACAGTCAGAGGATAATTTCTTTCTTAGGGAAAAGTTTCATACATCCAAGCACAGGGTTTTTGAAATACATTAAGATGTCCTTTTTTTTTATAGATATGATGATACACTAGTGGTTCCTATTATTGAGAATACACCAGAAGAGAAGGATCTCAAGGAGAGGATGGCACGTGCAATGGAAAAATACCCAGACTCTTGTGCTGTCCTGGTCAGACGTCACGGTGTTTATGTATGGGGAGAGACATGGGAAAAAGCCAAAACCATGTGAGTACAGTTCAGGAATATGCTATCTCTTCTCTCAAGATCTTAATGAACTTAATGCTATGTATATTTCCAGCCCATGGACAATGATTCAGAATATTAAGGCCTCACTGCATGTATAGGGAGCTTTTGGGAATGGATTCATCCACGATTCCATTGCTTGGTTTTCCTTTCATATCAGTGCTGGCTGATAGGGTTGCCAACATTTTCCTTTCAGACAAGTCAACAAATCCCTCCTCATATGAAACATGCAAGCAATCTCTGCTTTTATATGACATCTGCCAATATTGTTTGTGTAACCCTCCCTAGTCCCAATTTTGGAATTTACCTCACCTGCTGATGGAAATGCAGCAAATCAATATTATGTAGGAAAATGGCACTTTCCATTCCTCAGCACTGGAAATAAACAATAATAGAGCTGTCCAGTCAGACTGTCACATTGGTGATAAAATCTTAAGGAAGGAAAATACTAATTTTCCTAAAACATGATAAGGCTTGAGCTTTACTTACATTGCATTTTTTCCCTATTTATTTTAGGTGTGAATGTTATGACTACTTGTTTGATATCGCAGTGCAGATGAAGCAGCACGGGCTAGATCCTTCAAAACATCCAGCAGGAGAAAATGGGATCTTGTAAATGTCAACAACATTTATGCTCAGGTGTGAATTTATCTGTAAGGATGGTTTGTTTAGAGGGAGAGACTACAGATGACACCATCACTTCAGTCTGCTTTCCCACTCAGGGAACTTCAGTATTGCTCATCTTTCCCCAGTCTGCTCTGTAACCACTGCAGTTGTGTCTATGCCTGAAATAGTGCTCCTTTTCCACACAATGCAGCAAAATATATATGTATTAATAGCTAGATATGTCCATTGGCTATTTAGTGCCAATGTACAGCATGGGGCGTGATTTCTTTTTACAACAAAATAATATCAAGCATTTCCAGAAAAGCCAATGGACTAAAAAGGCCAGAGCCTAGTGAGCTGATGTGGACAGAGATGTCTGAGCACCCACATTTGTTCTTGTGCTTGTTGGATCAGGTTTGATTTCAGACCATCTCACCAACCCAAGTGGTGGGTTGGTTGGAGGTTTTAGGGGGTTTGGTTTTTTCCTTCAGTGTGGCTGGCTTGAGTTTGACTGATTAGTGTTACCTGTTTACCTCATGTAGGAAATCACATTGACTTTCTGTTTTCTATTGTAGCAGTAATCAGTTTTGAAAGTTTTCATAAGAAATTTTTGAAGTTAAAGCCAATAGATAACATGATCAGGGTATACTTGACATGAAGGATACCTGAAACAATTCTCACATATGTGCAGCTTGGTATGGCAAAATGCAGTGGGGTAGCATAACATTTCAGAGCTGGAAAATACAAATTTGAAGGTACCAGTATTGAGATTATAAAGGAATTTCTTGACCAAAGCAGTGGTGTAATTAAACAGGATAGGCTAATGACAAATGCTTGCTCAAGCAACATGATCCCAGAAGAGACAGGGACTTGGCTCCTCAGGGTGGGCCTTTATGTCCACCCTAGAGGAGGAAGCAGTGGGGCAGGAGGTGTGCTGTCAGGGAGCCTCTGCCTTTGCAGGTGTTTAGGGTGCTGCTGCTGCCTACAGTGATGCAGACACATTGGCTGCCACACCTGAACAGGGCTACCTCATGGCCCACAAGGGCCATTCTAAAATTGCCCCTGCAGTTTTAGATAAGTTGGGCTACTGTAGTGGCATGAATATTCCTTTGCCTATTTATTGTGACAAGTTTTAGAATATTTTTGCCTTTACTTTGTTTCTCCTGTACAGGTTTCTCAGATGATGATGGGAGTTCCAGCTTTCACCCCACACTACTGAAGCCAGAAGGGGGTGCTGATCCTCAGCTGATTGACAAATGTCAGCAGGAACATTTAACTGTTAAATGCACCCAAGAATTAAAGGAGAGTTAAAAAAACCCAACTACTGAACAATCATTGCAATTTACAAGTCCTGTCGAATGCCACAGTACGAGGAATGAAAATTCAGATGCAAAAAGACTTTGAAAAACTTTGGAGAACTAATGTCACATTTTGGTTTTGTGCCTTAAAAATTCATATTTCAACAACCTGCATTTGTTGATCCTGCCCTAATGCTATGTCATTTAACTTGAAATAAATGCATTTCTGAAGGTTATTATAGCTTTTATTCTTCCAGAAAAAAGTGAGGACAGCCCCTTATTTAGAAATTAATAAAGTTTAAAGCATTGTTTGAACTGTTGATTCCTTCATACTATGTTCATGTTTATGTTTTGAGGGTTTTTTTCTTTTTTTAAAATAAGCCTGTAGCATATGTGTTTTTAAATTCTCCTAATTGTCATTATAATGAGAAGGAAATTTTATAGCATGTATTTTGTAGTTACTGAGGGACTATTCTGGGTCTTACCTTTTTCAATTCCTTCACTTTGAATAAAAGCTTTTTATGACCTCTGCTTACCACCCCCCCCCCCCCCCCACTGCCAAGGTAGATTTAATCAAACTGCTCATTAAAACACAGTCTCACCTAATTATGACACCGTCTTCTTTCAGAATCTTCTGGAATGGCCCCCTGGTGGCATCAGTGTAAGCCTCGATTGACCAATTTTCTAATTGAGTATTGAGACCTCAGTCCCAAGGGTGAACTGAGGCAGGCTATGTGCCAGCTGACCCTGGTTTCTGCTAGGGGCTGTGCATTCCCACCACTTCCCCTTCCATCATCTCTGGCACTTGTTTTGAGCTTCCATGAGGTGAATTATTTCTTCAACCTAAAATAAAACTACTGAGGGAGTGGGGGAAAAATTGTTTCAATTATTTCCTACCAAGCCGCTGATAAAAACACTGAATCAAGTCAAAGGTGCTTCCAAAGAGAACCTAGAACCAGGGCAAGAGGAGATGGCTGATGCCAGAGATGGCACACACCACTTCCCCTTTTTTCTGGGGATGACAGTTAAGGTCAGTGTTTGGTGTACCTTAGGCATGTTTGCCCCTTCCCTCTTGTACTTCTGTACCTGCAGTGTGCAACATTTAACCCTTAGGGGGACCTTGGTTATTGTGAAATAATGTTTATCACTGAATAACTACAGGTTATTTGCTATATGTTTTATTAATATGTTTTTTCATTATTAGACACTCATTTGCCAGTGGCAAATAGTTTGCAATGATTCCACATCTTCTTAGTGTATGTGGATTGTAAGAACTTGTGTGAAAATGCTGGTTTTTGGACCAGAGGGTGACTTTGGACAGGCTGCTTCACCTAAGCATAAAATATCTCTGAAGTGTGTTTAAGACTTGAGAGGTGCAGCTGACCTTAAGGGAAAGCACACTGTAATTCTCTTAGCTTTTCTTCCCTGTGGATGTACTAATAAAAACAATTCTTCATATGACAGTCCAATTAGTCTTGAAATCTAGTTGCCATTTATTTGTTGTCGCCTTTAATTCTTTATTTTAACTTTTTATTTTTGCAAAAAATAACTTTGTGTGGTATTCTGATGATAATTTCAGAATAGGTGATAATTGTATGGTTCCGTGATACTGATGTTTTGTAAGGATGAAGAACATTTTACATTTGATGTTTTTTTTGTTTTGCGTATGTAAAGACAAACCACAAAAGAACACTCACAAGGAAAGGTATTTTTTGCCAAATACACTCCTCTAGAGTTGTGTTAGTTACAATATTCACTTTCTCATGCAGCTACAATTTGCTCTGTAGCCTTTCTAAAATCTGTAAATCATCACATTTCTACAGTAGTAGTTAAGTTCTTTCATACAGGATTCCTAGGTGCTCAGAGTCCCATTCAGTGATTTGGAAATGAGTTAAATGCACCCTTCTCATGGCTTCTCATATGGATCCTAATCAAAGAAGTTAATGCCTTCACAACTCTGGTGGCTTCATAACCCTGAGAAATAATTACTGTTTGCTGATGTGCTCAGAAAGCTCTGGCAGTTCAGCTCTGAGTATGTAGAACAAAAATAGGAAAATGTCTCATGCGATTCAAAGCGTCTCAACTCACATAACTTTTAAGTCTATCTCTTTTCCTGATGTGAATAGTAGGCTTATAAGCCAGCTAGGTATTTTTCTGTGTTTGCAGCAAAGACTTGATCTCCACCAAAGCTGATTATCTAGGTTTAGTATCACCAGATAGGCTCATGGCAAAATGACATAATTCCCATTTAAATGGCTCATCCAAAAAGCTAAGTAAGTTCCAACATTTCTCAATAAAAGTAGCTTCCTAGCAAACATCCTGCTTGCTTTCCAAGAAGGAAATAAAACTGCAGAATACAGGATCTTGAAATGTGAACGAGATAGAACTCTTAACTTACCGTAAGCAGTTATAAGTTCTGTTGTAAATGCTGTAATGCCTGAACAGTTGGCATCCTCTTCAACTCTGAAATTTTAATTAAAAAATTAACATTAAAAAAGCCCACTGACTAGTGGAAAATTACAAATAAACTAGTAGCCTTCCTCTAAATTGTTTTTTTGCCGCACATTTTGGCAAACAGGTTTGTAACAGTTTTTTGGTATTTTACAGAAGATTGCAAATGGGAAAAAAGATCCCTGGAACACTCTAAATGGATTACTCTCATACTGAGGAGTAGAAGAAAATATCTAGTTTGATATTAATCCTTCCTGATTTCAAAATAGTTAAAAAACCTTTGAAAATGCTTCATTTTCCAAGCCACTTCATATTTGTATTTAAGGTTTGTTCTAAGGGGAGGTGAACCCTTGCAGGCTTTGGTTTTGTTTTGTTTTTCTGCCTGTTAGGTGAAATAGAAGTTGTGCCTTACAGAGCCAGGTTGTGTCCAAGGACAGCCCTCTGAGCTGAGGCAGACTTTTGTAACAGTGTGTAGAGGAGCCTGTGATTGCACTTTGCTACCAACTAATCTAAGCCTTCATGGATCTGGATGTTGCTTAAATTTCATGTTGGCTTAATGTTAAAGGTTTAATGTTACTCCAGAAGAATGCTACCTGACCTGATTTTTAAGAGTGATTTTTTAAGTCCCTGAGTCTGAAAAAGAGCTCTCAGGCATTTATCCTGGTACTGTTCAAGGTTTTGCTGCATATAATGAGTGGTAAATAAAATCTGGCTTTTGGTTGACTTGATTAGCACAGGGCTGCATTTCTGCTAAATATGAGTGCTAGAGTTTCAGCATATACTGAGTGGACCATTGCAAAATTATTTTGGAGGTGAAACCTTTAGTGGAACAACATCCATTGCCTAATTCTTAGAACTTAAATCTGTTGAAATCAAAAGCAATTCCAAATATTAAATTTTTTAATTTTTCTATAGTCTCCACACTTAATTTAGCATCTGCTAGTTTTTGCTAGAGCAGTCAAAGAAAACCAGTGACTGCCTAATGCTCAATACGAAAAATGGATTGAGCATGTTTGTCTGGATGGGCAGTTGTGGAAATTCATATACTGTGAGTAGCATTGACAAACACTCTCTGTACTTGCACATATATGTGTTGGGTTTTTTAACTGTAAGAGACTGTGCTGTTGGACTAGCAAGTTTCTCCCATCTATGACAGATAAAATTACACGTTAATCTCCAGAAACCAGATCAACAGGAATTCATTTAAGTAGTTAAGCATAAATTCTCTCTCCTTAATGAACCTCAGATTAGCTTCAATTTCTCTAATGGTAATTTCTGGTTATTACAAACAGAATACACTGGATATAGAAGAAATAATAGGTTTTATATTTAAAACAAAGAGCTGGATGTCTAGATTTTGTGGCTGATTGAACTGTTACCTTAAGGTCATGCCTTGAACAGTTCACTTTGATGGGAGTTTCAAAAGACCTTGAATGAATCAGATACTACCCTACATCCCATTGGAAAGTTATGGGATTCATTTTGTTAGGTCCCCTCTTAACTCCAAGGATGTAGCTGTCTTTATTTCAATCAGGAGCAAAAAAGAAAAAAACAGAGAAGGTCACCTTGAGTACAAACTGCCAGCTTATAACTGCTGTGTCCCAGTTTGATATCAAATACCTAACAGGTATTTTTTCCCCGTACTAGAAACTTGTAGTTAAGAAAAAGGTTACATAACTTGGTTTCACCTAGAAGGAATTTACAAACCCGAGAAATCAGGAACTGAGCTGTCCTGCTTACTCGAATGTGCATTAAGACTACCAAAAGTAACACAGCACAATTTTTGTGACTCCAATTTCTCCCTTCCCGAAGGATACCAGCTCTCTGTCTTTCCAGATGAAGCCTCTGTTTTATAATGTCATTTTTTAGTTCCTGTTCTCCAGACAAAGCAGGTTGCCCTGACAGTCCCCATGTCAGGGCAGTTCCTGAGAACACTGATAAGGAATACGTGTGAATGACGACTGCGCATTGCCTGGGCTCAGCAGCTTGCTGGGCGCTTAACATGAACGATTCCATTTCTTTTGTCTTTATGCTTTGTCTCGTTTCCGTGTTTTATTCAGTTTTAGTCCTGCTTTTCTGTAAGATTTTCTTCTTTCTGGTGTTTTCCTTACAATCATTGAAACCAAATGTAAACTTAGTACCATTTGCATTCTGGTTGAACTTTCAAACCCAGGAGTATTTTTGTGTTAGCAAACATCTCGTTCCTGATTCATCTGCTACATCCCTGACATATCTGGGCATGTCCTGTTATTGTCTGTTTGCAAAATTTTGGTACTTAAAACAGTTAATGTGTCTTTTGTATCTCAGACACACTAGGATTTTGCAAGCAAGTGTCTGTTGATTGCAAGAGCATATGAGCAAGTATGAGACTAATTTCCTGTTAAGGAGTCGCTACATTAAAAGGATATTTGCATAATCATAGACCAAGATAATGTAGGGAAAACCCCTGAGATCATTCTGCTGCCAGGATTAAGCCAAGCCCAACATGTAATTTATTTGAATGCATGAAAGCTGCTTCTTATCGTTCACTTCTATCTCAAGTCTCCAAGCACTTTAGTTGGCAGCAGCAGGCTCTAACTCCTCCTGGGTAATTCATTATCCTCAACAACTTTTAAAAGGGTTATTTTAAGTTTAACTTAACAGTCCCTGCAACTTAATTAATACAATAAAAAAACTATTCCTTTTATGAATTTCTGTCACACGTTCAAAATCAAGCTGCAGCATCTTCTTGGGTCATCATTTTATTTGATGCCCTCCCCTTCAGGTTATGATAACTTCAGAAATATTGCATGCACCACAGAAACAGGGGTTCAGGACTACACCTATAAAAAACATAGGCAAAACCTATGAGATTTCTTAATGCA